CACACACACTGACGTCACACACACACACACTGACGTCACACACACACACACACTAACGTCACACACACACACACTGACGTCACACACACACACACTGACGTCACACACACACACTGACGTCACACACACACACACTGACGTCACACACACACACACTGACGTCACACACACACACTGACGTCACACACACACACACACACTGACGTCACACACACACACACTGACGTCACACACACACACTGACGTCACACACACACACACACTGACGTCACACACACACACTGACGTCACACACACACACACTGACGTCACACACACACACTGACGTCACACACACACACACTGACGTCACACACACACACTGACGTCACACACACACCAACTGACGTCACACACACACACACACTGACGTCACACACACACACACTGACGTCACACACACACACACTGACGTCACACACACACACACACTGACGTCACACACACACACACTGACGTCACACACACACACACTGACGTCACACACACACACACACTGACGTCACACACACACCAACTGACGTCACACACACACACACTGACGTCACACACACACACACTGACGTCACACACACACACACTGACGTCACACACACACACCAACTGACGTCACACACACACACACACTGACGTCACACACACACACTGACGTCACACACACACACACTGACGTCACACACACACACGCTGACGTACACACACACCAACTGACGTCACACACACACACACTGACGTCACACACACACACCAACTGACGTCACACACACACACACTGACGTCACACACACACACACTGACGTCACACACACACACTGACGTCACACACACACACTGACGTCACACACACACACTGACGTCACACACACACACTGACGTCACACACACACACACTGACGTCACACACACCAGCTGACGTCACACACACTGACGTCACACACACACACACTGACGTCACACACACACACACACTGACGTCACACACACCAGCTGACGTCACACACACACCAGCTGACGTCACACACACCAGCTGACGTCACACACACACACTGACGTCACACACACACACACACTGACGTCACACACACACACACACTGACGTCACACACACACACTGACGTCACACACTCACACACTGACGTCACACACACCAGCTGACGTCACACACACACACTGACGTCACACACACACACACTGACGTCACACACACACACACACTGACGTCACACACACACACTGACGTCACACACTCACACACTGACGTCACACACACACACTGACGTCACACACACACACACACACTGACGTCACACACACACACACTGACGTCTTACACACACACTGACGTCACACACACACACACTGACGTCACACACACACCACACTGACGTCACACACACACACTGACGTCACACACACACACACTGACGTCACACACACACACACTGACGTCACACACACACACACTGACGTCACACACACACACACACTGACGTCAGACACACACACTGACGTCACACACACACCAACTGACGTCACACACACACACCAACTGACGTCACACACACACACACTGACGTCACACACACACACACTGACGTCACACACACACACACTGACGTCACACACACCAGCTGACGTCACACACACCAACTGACGTCACACACACACACACTGACGTCACACACACACCAACTGACGTCACACACACACACACTGACGTCACACACACACACTGACGTCACACACACACACTGACGTCACACACACACACACTGACGTCACACACACACACACTGACGTCACACACACACACACTGACGTCACACACACACACACTGACGTCACACACACACACTGACGTCACACACACACACACACACTGACGTCACACACACACACTGACGTCACACACACACACACTGACGTCACACACACACACACACTGACGTCACACACACACACACTGACGTCACACACACACACACTGACGTCACACACACACACACTGACGTCACACACACACACACACTGACGTCAGACACACACACTGACGTCACACACACACCAACTGACGTCACACACACACCACTGACGTCACACACACACACACTGACGTCACACACACACACACACTGACGTCACACACACACACACACTGACGTCACACACACACACACTGACGTCACACACACACACACACTGACGTCACACACACACACACTGACGTCACACACACACACACTGACGTCACACACACACACACACTGACGTCACACACACACACACACTGACGTCACACACACACACACTGACGTCACACACACACACTGACGTCACACACACACACACTGACGTCACACACACACCAACTGACGTCACACACACACACACACTGACGTCACACACACACACACACTGACGTCACACACACACACACTGACGTCACACACACACACACTGACGTCACACACACACACACTGACGTCACACACCACACACTGACGTCACACACACACACACTGACGTCACACACACACACACACACACTGACGTCACACACACACACACTGACGTCACACACACACACACTGACGTCACACACACACACACACTGACGTCACACACACACACACTGACGTCACACACACACACACACTGACGTCAACACACACACACTGACGTCACACACACACACACTGACGTACACCACACACACACACACACTGACGTCACACACACACACACTGACGTCACACACACACACACTGACGTCACACACACACACACTGACACACACACAACTCACACACACACACTGACGTCACACACACACACACTGACGTCACACACACACACACACTGACGTCACACACACACACTGACGTCACACACACACACTGACGTCACACACACACACACTGACGTCACACACACACACACTGACGTCACACACACACACACTGACGTCACACACACACACACTGACGTCACACACACACACACTGACGTCACACACACACACACACTGACGTCCACACACACACACACTGACGTCACACACACACACACTGACGTCACACACACACACACTGACGTCACACACACACACACTGACGTCACACACACACACACTGACGTCACACACACACACACTGACGTCACACACACACACACACTGACGTCACACACACACACACACTGACGTCACACACACACACACTGACGTCACACACACACACACACTGACGTCACACACACACACACTGACGTCACACACACACACACACTGACGTCACACACACACACACTGACGTCACACACACACACACTGACGTCACACACACACACACTGACGTCACACACACACACACTGACGTCACACACACACACACTGACGTCACACACACACACACTGACGTCACACACACACACACTGACGTCACACACACACACACTGACGTCACACACACACACACACTGACGTCACACACACACACACACTGACGTCACACACACACACTGACGTCACACACACACACACTGACGTCACACACACACACACACACCACACTGACTCACACACACACACTGACGTCACACACACACACACTGACGTCACACACACACACTGACGTCCACACACACACACTGACGTCACACACACACACTGACGTCACACACACACACACTGACGTCACACACACACACACTGACGTCACACACACACACACTGACGTCACACACACACACTGACGTCACACACACACACACACTGACGTCACACACACACACACTGACGTCACACACACACACACTGACGTCACACACACACACACTGACGTCACACACACACACACTGACGTCACACACACACACACACTGACGTCACACACACACACACTGACGTCACACACACACACACTGACGTCACACACACACACACACTGACGTCACACACACACACACACTGACGTCTCACACACACACACACACTGACGTCACACACACACACTGACGTCACACACACACACTGACGTCACACACACACACACTGACGTCACACACACACACACTGACGTCACACACACACACACTGACGTCACACACACACACTGACGTCACACACACACACTGACGTCACACACACACACACTGACGTCACACACACACACACACTGACGTCACACACACACACACACTGACGTCTCACACACACACACACACACTGACGTCACACACACACACTGACGTCACACACACACACACTGACGTCACACACACACACACTGACGTCACACACACACACACACTGACGTCACACACACACACACTGACTCACACACACACTGACGTCACACACACACACTGACGTCACACACACACACTGACGTCACACACACACCAACTGACGTCACACACACACACACTGACGTCACACACACACACACTGACGTCACACACACACACACTGACGTCACACACACACACACACTGACGTCACACACACACACACTGACGTCACACACACACACACTGACGTCACACACACACACACACTGACGTCACACACACGAAGGAGCCACAAAGAGAAGCCGATCTCCGGGCGCTCTGTTCAGTGTGGACGCCTGAGGAAGTCTCCTGTCGAGTGTCTGTCAGTCTCAGCTCTGGCAGATGTCACTGGACTCACAGGCGTCGGCTTCCAGTTCACAACCACAACATACTCTGGGAAAATTAAACTGGTCGCACTTTCTCTACACTGCAAAAAGGGATGAGAAATGAGTCAAAAATGGCAAATTTGGCAAAATGTGTCTTAATCTGAGCACATTCTGACTGAGACTTAAAACTAGATTCTGCACTGGGACAAAACAAAATGATTTGGTTTTTGAAAGCCATTTTTCAGAGGTTCTTAAAATGCGTTATTACGTCATATTTTATAATATTTTGCAGTGTAGTTTCCAAGTATGAAAGCCGTATGTATCTCTGACTTAAATCATTTGTGCTTGAAAGTTTACACACTTTGTTACTATTATTATTTATTATTTACGATTTCATTTTTTTTGGCCCTAGGGGAGGATAGTGGGAAAAGGATTAAATAAAGAATAATAATATGTAACATGGAAAAAGACGCAAAAACGTTAAACTGAGATAAAAATGCTGAGTTTTGGAGAACTTATCGTTGTTGGTGATTGTGTGACGCCACTTTCTATTTAAAAAGACTACGTAAAGTCTTCTGACCGTGATCAGAAGTCTCCACCCCCCTCACTTTACCCGCCCTTTAATGTTCTCAGTTTCCAGTCTGTTCATGTAGAGAATTCTTCTGTAAAGATTATTGTGAAACTCCAACTGATTACTACATTATTTATACACGTCTCAGGTTGACTTTGTACTTGGCTTTAGGGCAAGAGAGAGAGAGAGAGAGAGAGCGAGAGAGACTCAGTCATCCCTGACTGAGGGAAGTATTCACATGTTTTTGTGAATATTTACTTAGCAACAACATGATCACACTGGTCCCTCAGAGTGGAAATGTCAGTGTTGCATCAGCAGTTACAGAACAGAAGAATGAGGAGCACACAGCACAAGGCTCAAAAGTCAGATTGTATTAATTTGCTCTAAAATGTCAAAAAAATGCCCAGGACATGAGCACTATAAGAAACATATTTATGCAGTTTAAAAAAGGTTGATTTGGTGTTTAGTAAATGAGCAGTTTTTATCATAACGTGTTTTTGACTGTTGTGTCTTTCCTGTAGCTTCCAGAGTCCAGCTCAGAGCAGCGTTTGGACAAATGCTCTCGCTGCGTCGTCGTTGGAAACGGGGGAATCCTCCGAGGCCTCGAGCTCGGGCCGTTCATCGACCAGTTCGACACAGTCATCAGGTTAGCGCTAACGTCTGCTCGAGGCTAACATCTGCTCAAGGCTAACATCTGTTCGATGCTAACTGTCACTCCCGTATTCGTCCCGGAAACCGGATTTGTCGGAAGTTCAGTTTGATCCATTGATCATACGCAGCAGTTGATTACGTCACGGAATCTGGACGGAAGCGGAAGTAAATAAAACAAACATGCCTAAACTTAACCAGCCATTCCCATAAAATAACCCCAACCCAGCCATAACCCTAAACTTAACCATCTTACTCAGACCACCTTAACCATCTTACTCAGACCACCTTAACCCTAACTTTAACCATCTTACTCAGACCCACCTTAACCCTAACCTTAACCATCTTACTCAGACCACCTTAACCCTAACTTTAACCATCTTACTCAGACCCACCTTAACCCTAACCTTAACCATCTTACTCAGACCACCTTAACCCTAACCTTAACCATCTTACTCAGACCACCTTAACCCTAACCTTAACCATCTTACTCAGACCACCTTAACCCTAACCTTAACCATCTTACTCAGATCCACCTTAACCCTAACCTTAACCATCTTACTCAGACCACCTTAACCCTAACCTTAACCATCTTACTCAGATCCACCTTAACCCTAACCTTAACCATCTTACTCAGATCCACCTTAACCCTAACCTTAACCATCTTACTCAGACCACCTTAACCCTAACCTTAACCATCTTACTCAGACCACCTTAACACTAACCTTAACCATGTTAATCAGACGCCTAAACTTAACCAGTCACCACTTAAGGACTTATTACACTTTTTGACATGCGCAAACTGAACTGAAACTTCCGGACGAATCCGGTTTCCGGGACGAATACGGGAGTGACACTAACATCTGTTCAATGCTAACATCTGTTCAATGCTAACATCTGTTCAATGCTAACATCTGTTCAATGCTAACGTCTGTTCAATGCTAACGTCTGTTCAATGCTAACATCTGTTCAATGCTAACATCTGTTCAATGCTAACATCTGTTCAATGCTAACGTCTGTTCAATGCTAACGTCTGTTCAATGCTAACATCTGTTCAATGCTAACATCTGGTTCAATGCTAACGTCTGTTCAATGCTAACGTCTGTTCAATGCTAACATCTGTTCAATGCTAACATCTGGTTCAATGCTAACGTCTGTTCGAGGCTAACGTCTGTTCAAGGCTAACGTCTGTTCGAGGCTAACGTCTGTTCGAGGCTAACGTCTGTTTAATGCTAACGTCTGTTCAAGGCTAACGTCTGTTCAATGCTAACGTCTGTTTAAGGCTAACGTTTGTTCAATGCTAACGTCTGTTCAATGCTAACATCTGGTTCAATGCTAACGTCTGTTCAAGGCTAACGTCTGTTCAAGGCTAACGTGTGTTCAAGGCTAACGTCTGTTCAAGGCTAACGTCTGTTCAAGGCTAACGTGTGTTCAAGGCTAACGTGTGTTCAAGGCTAACGTCTGTTCAAGGCTAACGTCTGTTCAAGGCTAACGTCTGTTCAATGCTAACATTCCATGTCCGTTACATTTACAGTAAATGATCTTGAAAAAGTGTATTTGATTTAAAAAAAAAAAATCCTTTTGAAAGTGATTTCTTGATGTCACGTTAATGTGACCGTTAGCTCTTATTTATCCAAAACTAGCGTTGGGAGGCTGTGAAAAATGAAGAAAAGTGAAATATGGCACCTTTTAAAGAACAACTAAACACCAAATCCACTTTTTTAACTCGTAAACTGCACAAATACGTTTCTTCTAGTGCTCTAAACATGTTGTGGTCATTATTTAGACATTTTAGTGCAAATTTGATCATATCTGACTTTTGAGACTTAAACTGTCTGTGGCGCCCTCTATACATCTTCAGTGGTACTACATTTGAATTTGGTGCCTCTCCATTGGCTCTGGCCTGTAGGGAGTTGGAGCATTCTGCCGACATCTAGTGGTTAAATATGAAATTACATCAGTTCGGTGGGTTAGGCTCAGGGACTGGCTCTACAATTATCTCTGTGTAATCAAGGGAAGGAGAGTTTCTGGTGCATAAACTATTGCTTTAAACAATAATAAATGTCTGATTTATTTTGTCCACGCCCGACTTTAAGCCCTTCTTGTCCCTGGTCCTTTGGAAAACGACCTTTTTATGCCGCGTTCAGACTGGATCATGCGTTGCGTCTGCTTTCAATTCAAAGTCAATGGTAACACGCGTTTGAGCATCAAAACGCACAAGCGTCGGGCTGGGAAGTCGAAGGGGAGGAACGCAGGAGATGGATTTTGCTTTCCTTTCCTCGGGACGTTCATGCAGCGACCAATCAGAGAGCCGCAAAGTGGTCACGGGGACATTAGTGGTCTGAGCGAGCAGACTGAACATACTGCAAACAGCCAAAACAGGAGCTACACCAGGACTAAACCAGGACTAAACCAGGACTAAACCAGGACTAAACCAGGGTTGACAATGGGGGACTCTGTGCTTGTGAATATATGCGTCGTCATGCTCCCGTGACTTTATGCAACTGCTTCGAGTGTGTTCGCCGATGCGGAAATACTGTTTGATAATAAAATAAACTCATTGCGCACCTCCATGAACACATACTACTGTTATATAAAGTCACCTCCGTAAACACATACTGCTGTTATATAAAGTCACCTCCGTGAACACATACTGCTGTTATATAAAGTCACCTCCGTGAACACATACTGCTGTTATATAAAGGCACCTCCGTGAACACATACTGCTGTTATATAAAGTCACCTCCGTGAACACATACTGCTGTTATATAAAGTCTCCTCCGTGAACACATACTGCTGTTATATAAAGTCACCTCCGTGAACACATACTGCTGTTATATAAAGGCACCTCCGTGAACACATACTGCTGTTATATAAAGTCACCTCCGTAAACACATACTACTGTTATATAAAGTCACCTCCGTGAACACATACTGCTGTTATATAAAGTCACCTCCGTGAACACATACTGCTGTTATATAAAGTCACCTCCGTGAACACATACTGCTGTTATATAAAGTCACCTCCGTGAACACATACTGCTGTTATATAAAGTCACCTCCGTGAACACATACTGCTGTTATATAAAGTCTGTGGAAGGTCTCAGACACAGGCATGCTGCAGAGCTGTATTATTGGAGAAGATCTTTATACAAGAAGCTGCTAGTAGGGATGTAAATCGGCGACCGTTTAACCGGTGGTTGACCGTCACAGCGTTAACCGGTCAAAGCTGTCGGTTAAAAAAGAGAAAAAGGGGAGAGGGGAGGTCTCTTAATAACGCTATTTTAAGCCCTATTTGCAAGGTGTGACGAGCGGGTCCCTATCTAGCTGTATGCGCCCATGTATTATAAACTCCGGGACGACTCTCACGCCGCACGAGCCACATATGCACACACACACACACACACACACACACACTTTCCCCCTCTCCATACGTAACATCCACACGCATCATCTCTCCCCTCTGTTACCGTCAAAGTTGCACACTGGCGCGGGTCAGAACTACATTGGAGCTTACATTTACACACACACACATATACATACACACACACATACACACACACATACATACACACACACATACATACACACACACATACCGGTCTGTCGCGCTCCTCTGTGTCACGGAGCCACAGGATTCGCGCAAATACGCGGCTCCTTTGGGAGTCGCGTATTTCCCCTACATGTTTTGCTGTAGGGGAAACATGTTTGTGTTTATGGTCCTCGGGATCAGCTCCACAAACATCACTTGTATTTAAACTTTTGTGAAGACCTGTGAGACGCGGCTCGTCACTCGCTGCTCTGACCATGTGAACGAGCCGTGTTTGCTGCTAGAAAGTTTTGGTATTAACCCGCAGCTCAGCAGAATGGGAAGATTAAAAAAGCAGTTCTCTGTGCGCAAAGGTGCCGGAGCTGTTGCGGGTTTGGGCGCCGCTGTCTCGGCTCTGATCCAGTAGAACGCAGAGCTGCTCTTATGAAAAGTACGCGGCTCGAAATGTCTGTTATTTCAAAGAACGTGGACTATTTTAAACTACGCGGTTAACCGGTTTCAACCGGTTAATGAGGCTCGGTGGTCGGTCATGAAAATTTATAGTTTTTTACATCCCTAGCTGCTAGCTAAACTCTGTTAGCATCAGAGCCCGCCGGCTACTTCCGCCACTTCTGGCACGCGCCAGGACCTCTGGTCTAAAGACCCCTGCGTCTGAAAACTAGAGAACGTGCGTTTCAGCGTTGGCGGTCTGAAACCACCATAAGGCCCTGTCTACAGACGTCACTACACACAGTAGGAGGCAGAAGAGTTATTTGTAGCTGGTCCCTGTGCTCACCTGTGCCTGGTCCCTGTGCTCACCTGTGTTCACCAGGTCCCTGTGCTCACCTGTGCCTGGTCCCTGTGCTCACCTGTGTTCACCAGGTCCCTGTGCTCACCTGTGTTCACCTGTGCTCAGGCTGAACAGAGTGGCCCTCTTGGGGAGTTTGGGCCTGGTCCCTGTGCTCACCTGTGGTCCCTGTGCTCAGGCTGAACAGAGTGGCCCTCTGGGGGAGTTTGTGCCTTGTCCCTGTGCTCACCTGTGGTCCCTGTGCTCAGGCTGAACAGCGGCCCTCTGGGGGAGTTTGGGCCTGGTCCCTGTGCTCACCTGTGGTCCCTGTGCTCAGGCTGAACAGAGTGGCCCTCTGGGGGAGTTTGTGCCTTGTCCCTGTGCTCACCTGTGGTCCCTGTGCTCAGGCTGAACAGCGGCCCTCTGGGGGAGTTTGGGCCTGGTCCCTGTGCTCACCTGTGGTCCCTGTGCTCAGGCTGAACAGAGTGGCCCTCTGGGGGAGTTTGTGCCTTGTCCCTGTGCTCACCTGTGGTCCCTGTGCTCAGGCTGAACAGCGGCCCTCTGGGGGAGTTTGTGGGCGACGTGGGGAACAGGACCAGTCTGAGGATGGCATACCCAGAGAGCACCCCTCTGCTCTGGGCCGACCCTGACCCTGGAGCTCTGTTCGTGGCTGTGGTCTACAAAGCTGTGGACTTGGACTGGGTCTCTGCCATGGTCCGCAAGACCGCTGTGGTGAGTCCAGTATGTCCTTCGCTTAAAGATACAGCTAGTGATTTTGTTAGCTTAGCCGTAGCACCAACTGGAAACCACTCCCCCTCCCCTCGCCTCTTCACCAAACCACTCCCCCCTCCCCTCGCCTCTTCACCAAACCACTCCCCCCTCCCCTCTCCTCTCCACCAAACCACTCCCCCCTCCCCTCTCCTCTCGACCAAACCACTCCCCCTTCCTCCCCCTCCCTCTCCACCAAACCACTCCCCCCTCCCTCCCTCTCCACCAAACCACTCCCCCCTCCCCTCTCCTCTCCACCAAACCACTCCCCCCTCCCCTCTCCTCTCCACCAAACCACTCCCCCCTCCCCTCCCTCTCCACCAAACCACTCCCCCCTCCCCTCGCCTCTCCACCAAACCACTCCCCCCTCCCCTCGCCTCTCCACCAAACCACCCCCCCCCCTCCCCTCCCTCTCCACCAAACCACTCCCCCCTCCCCTCCCTCTCCACCAAACCACTCCCCCCTCCCCTCCCTCTCCACCAAACCACTCCCCCCTCCCCTCGCCTCTCCACCAAACCACTCCCCCCTCCCCTCTCCTCTCCACCAAACCACTCCCCCCCTCCCGTCGCCTCTCCACCAAACCACTCCCCCTCCCCTCCCTCTCCACCAAACCACTCCCTCTCCCCTCCCTCTCCACCAAACCACTCCCCCCTCCCCTCCCTCTCCACCAAACCACTCCCCCCTCCCCTCCCTCCACCAAACCACTCCCCCTCGCCTCTCCACCAAACCACTCCCCCCTCCCCTCGCCTCTCCACCGAACCACTCCCCCCTCCCCTCGCCTCTCCACCAAACCACTCCCCCCTCCCCTCCCTCTCCACCAAACCACTCCCCCTCCCCTCCCTCTCCACCAAACCACTCCCCCTCCCCTCCCTCTCCACCAAACCACTCCCCCCTCCCCTCCCTCCACCAAACCACTCCCCCTCGCCTCTCCACCAAACCACTCCCCCCTCCCCTCGCCTCTCCACCAAACCACTCCCCCCTCCCCTCGCTTCTCCACCAAACCACTCCCCCCTCCCCTCCCTCTCCACCAAACCACTCCCCCCTCCCCTCCCCTCTCCACCAAACCACTCCCCCCTCCCCTCGACTCTCCACCAAACCACTCCCCCCTCCCCTCGCCTCTCCACCAAACCACTCCCCCCTCCCGTCGCCTCTCCACCAAACCACTCCCCCCCTCCCCTCGCCTCTCCACCAAACCACTCCCCCCTCCCCTCGCCTCTCCACCAAACCACTCCCCCTCCCCTCCCTCTCCACCAAACCACTCCCCCCTCCCCTCTCCTCTCCACCAAACCACTCCCCCCTCCCCTCGCCTCTCCACCAAACCACTCCCCCCTCCCCTCTCCTCTCCACCAAACCACTCCCCCCTCCCCTCGCCTCTCCACCAAACCACTCCCCCCTCCCCTCTCCTCTCCACCAAACCACTCCCCCCTCCCCTCTCCTCTCCACCAAACCACTCCCCCCTCCCCTCGCCTCTCCACCAAACCACTCCTCCCTCCCCTCGCCTCTCCACCAAACCACTCCCCCCTCCCCTCGCCTCTCCACCAAACCACTCCCCCCTCCCCTCGCCTCTCCACCAAACCACTCCCCCCTCCCCTCTCCTCTCCACCAAACCACTCCCCCCTCCCCTCGACTCTCCACCAAACCACTCCCCCCTCCCCTCCCCTCTCCACCAAACCACTCCCCCTCCCCTCTCTCGCCACCAAACCATGGGTGGGACAGCTCTAAGCTAGTAATACTCTATCCAGTTATTTTTCTAGATCCATGGTTGATTTAAGAATTGGGTAAAGATTCCGTTTGTACAATATTTATCTCTTTAAATCTGGATAATAATAAAAGAAATTCTAACCTCTGTTGTTATTTGTTTGTTTGTTGCAGCCTCTTTGGGACCGTCTGTTCTTTTGGCAGAAGGTCCCGGCTCAGGTCCCGATCGAGTCCGGTCGGTTCAGACTCTTGAACCCTGAAGTGATCCGCGAGACCGCCCTGGACCTGCTCAAGTACCCGCCCCCCAGACCTCGGCTCTGGGGCTGGGACCCGGTGAGACTCACATTTTGCCGCCCTCATAGCACCAGCTCCACCCCGACGGTCTTTCAGCGAGGACTTCAGGCAGAGATGGGTTAAGTGTCTTGCCGAGGGACACAACTGTAGACATTAGTAGCATTGGGGGAATCGAACCCACGAACAAAGACCAAAGCTGTCCTTACAGAGCTGTCATTTCCACTTTTTTGCTCTTGACAACGGTTGCTAAGGAGTTTCACTGGCTCTTGGTGTCATGTACTGAGGATGACGTCAGCACGTCATACGTTATTCCCCTGGACCCTGTGTAGTAGGGATGTAAGGTGCGCTCTTCTACGTTGACCAGCATGAAGTAAAGCCACGGAAAACTATGCTCCGGTGTGTGTCTGATTTAATTCGATTACACAAAGTCAAAGTGTAACATTGGCGACGAGGATAATAATCGACTTCGTATAGTTAAATCTGAAAGTGAGATTAGTCCGTATCTTCGAGATGGAGGACAAATCATCCGTGCCGAAGTTTGATTGCTACAAGGAGCCAGCTACGCTAGGTCCTCGCTGGACCAGGTGGCTAACGGCGTTTGAACTGTTTGCTGACGGGAAAGGTTTAATCTTGGACGCAAGGGTCACCGACAACACAAAGATTCGGAGACGTGCTTTACTCCTACACGCCGGGACGGATGTGCAGGATATTTTTTCCACTTTGGACGACACTGGAGGTTCGTCGGACTATGACAAGGCTGTGAAGGCGCTAAACGACTACTTCGTACCAAAGGTGAACAATGCATTTGCGCGCCAAACTTTCTACCAACTGTCACAGAATGCAGGGGAGACTGTACAGCAGTTCGTAACCCGTTTACGCCGGACGGCAAAAGACTGTGCATTTGGGGGCGACTTGTCTAACCAGCTCAGGGATGCTGTGCTAAGTAAATGCTCGTCGGAGTATGTGCGGAGGAAACTGCTCGAGGAGGGCTCGGAGTTAGTCCTCGACAAAGCACTAGAGATCGCGGCACAGTGTGAGAGGGTGGAGGAACAGATGGCGGCAATGCGAGTGAACGACACAGACATCAAAGGCGCCGAGGCGGTGAACCAAATCTCGAAGGGGAGAGGAGAGCGGGGCAAATTCCGAAAACGCGAGGGAGAGGAGAAAGGCAAAGTCTGCTTCAGGTGTGGACATGGCGACCACTTCGCGAAAGACCAGAAATGCCCAGCTCGCGGACAAACCTGCAGACAGTGCAACGGCAAGGACCACTACGCCAAGATGTGCAAGTCAAAAGGTAGTAGGGGGTCAGTGAAGTATGTAGATGAAAAGCAGGAAAAAGATTTTGCGTTTGTTGTGCGTGACAATAGCAACACAGATAGCCTGACATTTAATGTGGGTGGCGTGGACCTAGTAATGTTGATTGATTCAGGGACCACGACCAACATAGTTGATGAAAATACATAGGAAAGGCTGAAGAAAAAGAAAATTAATTGTGAGTCAGCCAAATCCGACAAGAAATTGTACACATATTCCTCAAAGGAGCCACTGCCGGTAAAGGGAGTGTTCACATGTGATGTGAAGATAGGCAAAAGAGCGACACAAGCAGAGTTCACAGTGATCGCAGGTCAGGGTGTACCGCTACTTGGCAGGCAGACAGCTACAGAGCTAGGAGTGCTAAGGGTGGGTGTAGATGTTGCAGCAGTCACCGATGTTAAGACAGAGGTGCAAGGAAAATACCCAAAGTTATTCACAGGGGTGGGTAAGCTTAACACTAAGCAAGTTAGACTGCACATCGACGGCAACGTGGAGCCCGTAGCACAGCCGCTGAGACGGGTACCATTCCACCTGCGGGAGGCGGTCGATAGGAAGATCGAGGAGCTGCTACGAATGGACATCATCGAGAAAGTGGAGGGACCAACGCCATGGGTGAACCCTGTCGTAGTGGTGCCGAAGGCAAAGGACAAAGACATTCGCTTATGCCTGGACATGAGAATGGCAAACAGGGCAATCATCCGGGGCAGATACCCGATCCCGACCGTTGATGAACTGTTGCATGACATGAACGGGTCAGCTGTGTTCAGTAAGCTCGACCTGCGGTGGGGCTACCACCAGCTGGAGCTCACTGAGGAGTCAAGGGCGATCACAACATTCGCCGTACACAGCGGAACATACCGCTACAAGAGACTCATATTCGGGGTCTCGTCTGCGAGTGAGCAGTATCAGCACGAGGTGACATCGGCGCTGACAGGCATCGAGGGAGTGGCCAACATCTCCGATGACATCATCGTCCATGCACCTGACCACGACACGCATCGCCAGCGACTACATGCAGTGCTGGAGAGGCTGGAGAAGTGCGGCTTAACCCTGAACGGTGAGAAGTGTCAATTTGAGATGGACAAATTAGTGTTCATGGGCATCTTACTGACTGAAAAGGGAGTAGGGCCTACCAGTGAGCGAGTCAGAGCCCTGGAGGAGGCACGTGAGCCAGAGAACGCATCAGAGGTACGCAGCTTTCTGGGTCTAGCTGGGTACAGCAGCCGTTTCATACCCCAGTTTGCGACCATCTCAGAGCCGCTGCGGAGGCTGACAAAGAAAGAGGTACCGTTCGTCTTCGGGCCAGAGCAACAGGTGGCGTTCGAGACACTGAAACTGAAATTGGCAGAGGCGGGAACGCTGGCATACTTTCACAAAGATGCCCCCACCAAAGTGATAGCTGACGCAGGCCCGGTGGGCATAGGGGCAGTTCTAATCCAAGAGCAACAGGGTGCTATGGTGCCTATATGTTATGTAAGCAGGAGCCTGACAGACTGTGAAACGAGATACTCGCAGACGGAGAAAGAGGCCCTGGCACTGGTGTGGGCATGCGAGCGTCTACACCCATACATATACGGCAAGAGGTTCGACTTAGTGACTGATCACAAAGCCCTACAGGTGATCTACAGCCCCAAGTCCAAGCCATGCGCTAGGATCGAGCGCTGGGTGCTCCGCCTGCAGCCATACGACTTTCGAGTTGTGCACATCGCGGGAAAGTTCAACATAGCAGATCCCCTGTCACGTCTACTGGGGAAAAGCGCTAAGAGCACGCCACATCATCATGGAGCAGAAGAATACGTGCGCTTCGTGGCGGTGCAGGCTACACCGCGGGCACTTACCACAAGGGAGGTGGAGAGAGCATCCGCGGAGGACAAAGAACTGGATGAGGTGAGAAAAGCGATCAAGACAGGCCGTTTTGAAAAGTGCTCAGCTTATGGCCGCATAGCGAATGAACTGTGTACTATTGGACAATTAGTGCTGAGGGGGACACGGATTGTGCTTCCACAGTCACTGCGCAGCAGAGCTTTAATCTTAGCTAACGAGGGACACTTAGGCATGGTAGGGATGAAGCAGCATCTGAGGGGGAAAGTGTGGTGGCCGGGGATGTATAAGGCAACAGAAAAATATGTGAAGGCCTGTGATGGATGCAAACTAGAGGCACGTCCTGATGTACCCGAGCCATTGCGGCCCACTGCTCTCCCTGACGGGCCTTGGCAAGACCTTGCCACAGACTTATTAGGTCCCTTACCTACAGGACATTCAATCCTGGTAGTAGTAGACTACTACAGTCGGTACTATGAGTACGAGATTATGCGTTCCACTACAGCAGAGAAAGTGATTGACAGTCTGGAGAACATCTTCAGTCGCCATGGTCTACCAGTCTCCATCCGATCTGACTGTGGGCCCCAGTTTCTGTCAACACAGTTCCAGGACTTCTGCAAGGAGAACGGCATACAACACGTCAAGACGACACCGAAATGGGCACAGGCGAATGGAGAGGTCGAGAGGCAGAATGCCTCCATCATGAAAAGAATTCGCATCGCGCACGCAGAGGGGCTGGACTGGCAGAAGGAGCTACGAAAGTACGTCACCGTCTACAGGTCGATCGAGCACTCAACCACGGGCAGGAGCCCTGCTGAACTCCTGTTCAACCGGAAGCTCCGGGGAAAGCTGCCAGACATCAGCACGCCGAGAATCGACATCGAGGCACGGGACACCGATGCTGAGAACAAGGGCAAGTATGCAGAGTATGCAGACCAGCGGCGCGGCGCGAAACCATCACCGGTGCAGGTGGGAGATGAAGTTCTGTTGAAACAGGACAAGGTTAACAAATTCACCACAACATTTAATCACACACCACACACTGTAGTGAGTAAGAATGGTAATAATGTTGTAGTTGAGTCACCCAGTGGAGCTCAGTACTCCAGAAATACCACACATGTTAAGGTGTACACACCAGCAGAGCAGACAACCTCACCTGGCGAGAGTGAGGCACCGAAAGAGAGAGAGACTCATGCAGAACCGTCTGTGAGGTCCACACCAGAGACACTCACTCAGGGGTCATCTCCAAGCCGACCTCTGACCACACCGACTGAGCGGCCTCGCAGAGAAATAAAGCAGCCGGAGAGATTCACGGACTTCATTATGAAGTGATGAATGTATTTTTAAAAAAAAAATAAAAAAAAGAATATTCATGTTCAATGAAAGTGAATTCTATGCTGTTGGGATATGAATGTTTACATTTTTGAATATGTTCAGCAATTGATATTGAATGCATAATGTCTGAAGCAGAAATGGTTCTATGAGTTGAAGGAACAAAAAGGTTATTCTGAGAATGTTTCGGAAGAAAGGTTTATTTTGAAAACGTTAATGGTGTTAAGAGTGTTAAATTGTTATTGATACATTGGGTAAAGTTTTAATCCAAGAAAGGAGGGGATGTCATGTACTGAGGACGACATCAGCACGTCATACGTTATTCCCCTGGACCCTGTGTAGTAGGGATGTAAGGTGCGCTCTTCTACGTTGACCAGCATGAAAGTAAAGCCACGGAAAACTATGCTCCGGTGTGTGTCTGATTTAATTCGATTACACGTGTGTGTGTCTCTGTGTAACTACATTGTGTGTGTGTGTCTCTGTGTAACTACATTGTGTGTGTGTCTCTGTGTAACTACATTGTGTGTGTGTGTCTCTGTGTAACTACATTGTGTGTGTGTGTGTCTCTGTGTAACTACATTGTGTGTGTGTGTCTCTGTGTAACTACATTGTGTGTGTGTGTCTCTGTGTAACTACATTGTGTGTGTGTGTCTCTGTGTAACTACATTGTGTGTGTGTGTCTCTGTGTAACTACATTGTGTGTGTGTGTCTCTGTGTAACTACATTGTGTGTGTGTGTCTCTGTGTAACTACATTGTGTGTGTGGTCTCTGTGTAACTACATTGTGTGTGTGTGTCTCTGTGTAACTCTGTGTAACTACATTGTGTGTGTGTGTGTCTCTGTGTAACTACATTGTGTGTGTCTCTGTGTAACTACATTGTGTGTGTCTGTGTAACTACATTGTGTGTGTCTCAGGTGAAGGCGATCCACGTCCACACGGAGCAGTTCTCGGTGGAAAACAGGCTCCTGACTCCGACCATGAAGGCCAAGAGGAACGAGCTGCGCGGACACTTCAGGGACCACATCGACTCCCTCTACGCGCAGATGAGACCGTAACGAGACCGTAACGAGACCGTAACGAGACCGTAACGAGACCGTAACGAGACCGTAACGAGACCACAAGAAACAACCAGGGCTGACACACTGGAAACGGGGATCAGAGAATCTTTAATTAAAACAACGAAACGAAACCTTAAAACCAATGACGTTACTTTCAGCACGAGACGAAACCTCAAACACGGATTTTACTACTTCCTGTTTTGTGCTGTATAAACCTCATATTTCAAAATGGTGTCTGTGGCCATATTTAAAAGTCTAATGTGATTTTTAAGGCAAGGCAAGTGCTAATAATAATAATAATAAATAATAATAATCTTACTTATATAGCCCCTTTTCGGACACAGACTTTCAAATCTTAAATAATCTGAGTTTGTTAAAAACGGTCGAGATTCAATCCTTCAGTTGTTTTTATCCTGGATTTAAACATTTCAGATTTTATGGAACACAAAAGTCCGACCCAAAGATTACGACACGTCTTTCGGCTCTAGATTTCTGTTTAAGTGTCTTTAGACGAATCGCTTTTGGGTGAAAAAACAATTCTAACAAAACATTTAAGACAAAGAGAGTTTTAAAAAAGTGACGACTAAACAATGCTTTAACTTTAACGAATCCCAAAAGAAACGAGTCCAAGGTAAAGAGGGTCGCCTTTCCCAGAGTTAGAGCTTTGTCTGGATTTCAATCTGTTTTATATTTTTAAGATTTTAACAAAAAACCAAAATATTCAGAAAGTCGACCTGAATATCTCATTTATACAATTCTAGCAATAATTCAGATGTTTTTCTTTTGTTATTATAGAAATACACAAAGAAGTATCATTGAAGTGGAGGCAAATAACAACCTGAGGATCTGTGTTAATATTTCACCAGATTTAAGTTTAAATTGTGTTTTTTTGGTCTCAGTCGTTCCTCGAACACTTCTGACCGTGTGTTTTTTCTGCACTTCTTTGGGGAAAATGGATGAGACCAGAAAAGCAGTCGTTTTTGTTTGAATCAGTTTTCCTCAAATGATTTTGATAGCAGTTCGGCCAAAAATCCGCTGATCGCTAACTTGATCTGAGCGTAAAGAGGCCTCTGTTATAACTTCATCACATCAATATGGAGATTTCAAATGCACTAAATGTTTAAGAATGAGCCAAAAAAAAGTACGTTTACAAAGCAGGAAAACCGGGGCTGGGAAAACCGGGGCTGGGAAAACCGGGACTGGGAAAACCCGGTGTAACGCTGAGATACACTGCCTTGAAGAGATGCACTGCCTCAGCTGTTTATGATGTAATGCAAACCTGCGCATGCGCGTCTCACGGCAACCGAAGCAAACCAAGATGGCGGACCGTGAATTGCTTTAAAAGTTGAAATACGAACGAATTCAGACACGAATGTCACTTTTAATGCAATTTGAGGCGAGATGTTGATGGTTCCGTTTTGTCACATGTGGGTTTTAAGAGTCAAAGTTTTGTGCAAAGTTTAGTTTAAGCAGTCAACTGCGCCTGTGAAACCACAAAGCTAATGTTTTCATAGCAGTCCGCGGCTGCTGACGTAGGCTGCTGACGTAGGCTGATGACGTAGGCTGCTGACGTAGGCTGATGACTCGTCCTGTGGCAACTCTACACTCTTACACTGGTCTGTCGGGTTGATAATGGAAAATGGGGAAAAAAATCAATCTAATTAAATATTTTGTTTGAACACACTATTGTTAATCATATTAAATACAGTACGATACATGCATTGAATGAAATTTATTATTTCCATTATCAACCCGACAGACCAGTGTAAGAGTGTAGAGTTGCCACAGGACGAGTCATCAGCCTACGTCAGCAGCCTACGTCAGCAGCCGCGGACTGCTATGAAAACATTAGCTTTGTGGTTTCACAGGCGCAGTTGACTGCTTAAACTAAACTTTGCACAAAACTTTGACTCTTAAAACCCCACATGTGACAAAACGGAACCATCAACATCTCGCCTCAAATTGCATTAAAAGTGACATTCGTGTCTGAATTCGTTCGTATTTCAACTTTTAAAGCAATTCACGGTCCGCCATCTTGGTTTGCTTCGGCTGCCGTGAGACGCGCATGCGCAGGTTTGCATTACATCATAAACAGCTGAGGCTGTGCATCTCTTCAAGGCAGTGTATCTCAGCGTTACACCGGGACTGGGAAAACCTGGATCTGACCATTTCTATTAGGTTTTGGTTTCCATGGAGATCGTACTGAGACAGGGCCAGCAGAGGCATGTATTTGGACTCACACAGACCACTTTGGGTTTATTCACATGCAGCAAAAACTTTAAAAAAAATTCATTCATTCATTTGTTTATTCCAAAACCAGCATTATACAAGGTTTGGAATGTGGGATTGGAAGCTTCCCAAGGCTCGACCGGATCAGCCGCCGTGGATGTAGACACAGGACAAAGTGGTCAGACCGGTTTGGCAGCGACCCCTAATATCCATACACATGTTTTGCCGTGCTATCTATATGGTCATGCTTTGTAAACGTACTCGGATAAAAGCACAAGACGTCTTCTTTAAGTTGTTCTAATGAGCTTTAAGGAACAAATCCACAACACGCCAGAGAAGTATGTGGGACCAGTGTGTGTTATTTACCACATGTGACATCACAAGGGACTTAGAAACTAGGAGAAAGCTGAACATAGGAGAAAGACATATCAATTAGCAATGAGTGAGTCCCCTTTAATTCTAACGGTGCTGTTTTAATGGAACTGTTTGAACTGTTTGTATTTGAGTAGTTTAAACAAATGCGTCGTGTTTTTTTACGTGGCGCACATTTGTGAAGTCTTCTGTTTGAATAAGCTTTAGTTTGTAGTCTGTGGATTAAGCCGTATTGAAGAAACTAAAGAATCGTCAATGAATTTAAATGTTTTGATTTTAAAGAAGCAATTTTAAAGTTTCTTCAAAGCCAATTCTTTCAAATGATATTTCAGGATTGTTTACTTCTGTACCTCGCATCAGAAAGTACAGGTGTTAAACGTATTTATTTATAACAGGGCGATGAGATTAAGTGAAGCTGTTTTAATGACGGCAAAATGAAATGAGATTGTTTGGTTTTTATCGTGATTTTACAGAAAATCTGATCGTTTTTGTGATTCTTGTTCTGATTTTGTTTTGTAAAAAAATAAATTAAATTAAAATAAATTGTTTGCTGTACATAACTTTTGTCTTGTTTTTAATGTTTCCGACGCAGCCCCTTGGACCCTGGGTTTGACTTGTGGAAGTTTGCATGTGAAGGTTTCCTCCAGGTGCTCCGGTTTCCCCATGTCACTAAAAACATATGCAGTCCTGTTTACGTCTAAAAAACATATCCTAGCTGTGAATACATGTCCTTTAAACGTAAAATATTGTGTCCAGACCACAACATCGAGGGTGAATAAGTAAGTAAGCAGTAGAGCCTCCTCTTCAGCAGTAGAGCCTCCTCAGCAGTAGAGCCTCCTCTTCAGCAGTAGAGCCTCCTCTTCAGCAGTAGAGCCTCCTCTTCAGCAGTAGAGCCTCCTCAGCAGTAGAGCCTCCTCTTCAGCAGTAGAGCCTCCTCCTCAGCAGTAGAGCCTCCTCCTCAGCAGTAGAGCCTCCTCCTCAGCAGTAGAGCCTCCTCCTCAGCAGTAGAGCCTCCTCCTCAGCAGTAGAGCCTCCTCCTCAGCAGTAGAGCCTCCTCCTCAGCAGTAGAGCCTCCTCCTCAGCAGTAGAGCCTCCTCCTCAGCAGTAGAGCCTCCTCTTCAGCAGTAGAGCCTCCTCTTCAGCAGTAGAGCCGCATCCTCAGCAGTAGAGCCTCCTCCTCAGCAGTAGAGCCTCCTCCTCAGCAGGTAGAGCCTCCTCCTCAGCAGGTAGAGCCTCCTCCTCAGCAGGTAGAGCCTCCTCCTCAGCAGTAGAGCCTCCTCCTCAGCAGTAGAGCCTCCTCAGCAGTAGAGCCTCCTCAGCAGTAGAGCCTCCTCCTCAGCAGTAGAGCCTCCTCCTCAGCAGTAGAGCCTCCTCCTCAGCAGGTAGAGCCTCCTCATCAGCAGGTAGAGCCTCATCATCAGCAGTAGAGCCTCCTCCTCAGCAGTAGAGCCTCCTCCTCAGCAGTAGAGCCTCCTCCTCAGCAGTAGAGGCTCCTCCTCAGCAGGTAGAGCCTCCTCCTCAGCAGTAGAGCCTCCTCCTCAGCAGTAGAGCCTCCTCCTCAGCAGTAGAGCCTCCTCCTCAGCAGGTAGAGCCTCCTCATCAGCAGGTAGAGCCTCCTCCTCAGCAGTAGAGCCTCCTCCTCAGCAGTAGAGCCTCCTCCTCAGCAGTAGAGCCTCCTCCTCAGCAGGTAGAGCCTCCTCCTCAGCAGTAGAGCCTCCTCCTCAGCAGTAGAGCCTCCTCCTCAGCAGGTAGAGCCTCCTCCTCAGCAGTAGAGCCTCCTCCTCAGCAGTAGAGCCTCCTCCTCAGCAGTAGAGCCTCCTCCTCAGCAGTAGAGCCTCCTCCTCAGCAGGTAGAGCCTCCTCCTCAGCAGTAGAGCCTCCTCCTCAGCAGGTAGAGCCTCCTCCTCAGCAGGTAGAGCCTCCTCCTCAGCAGTAGAGCCTCCTCCTCAGCAGGTAGTCGGCTCTGGCCCTTCCTGAAGAGGGCATCTGTGTCATGAGTCAAGTCTAGTTTGTGGTTCAGATGAACACCCAAGTATCTGTTTTATACAGCGCTTTTTGGACACACAAAGATGCTTCGCTTTTCATTCACTGCATACAAGGTGGTGATAGACTAGATTGTAGCCACAGCTGCCCTGGGGCACACTGACAGAAGCGATAAAACCAGTATAAGCCAACTGCCCTTCTGACCACCACCAACCATTTGCACACCCACCAGAATCCTAGGCATAGTGGGTGAAGTGTAAGTAAGTAAGTAAGTAATGTTTATTTATATACCGCCTTTCACAGACAAGGGTCACAAAGCGGTTTACAATTGTTATTATTTTTTGGGCACTTGTCCTCTCACTCCACACAGAGATGGAGCGGGGTCGCCGAACAGGAGGCGCATGCTAGACCTATTGTACATATTTTTAGTGGTAGGGGAAACCGGAGTACCCGGAGGAAACCTACGCAGACACGGGGAGAACATGCAAACTCCACTCAGAAAGGCCCTGGTCCGGCCGGGATTCGAACCCAGGACCTTCTTGCTGAGAGGCGAGAGTGCTATCCACTCCGCCACCGTGCCGCCCGGTGTGTCTAGCCTGAGGAGTCGGCCACAATAACAGTTTGACACTTTACAGCCAGAGGTCTCCCATCACAGTACTAACCAGGCCCTGCACTGCTTAGGTTCAGAGGTCTGTGTGTGTTGTTGGTACATGTACAGAAAGAAAGTAATGTGAAACTCGATATTTGTATATACAATAAACACATGTATCAACACTGATTTAGAAAAAATAAAATAAACTCTTGTCATAGAGACGCAAACTATGAGTCTCCATGGCAACGCGACGTCGGTCTTACGTACAGCTGGCTCCGGTCACGTGGCCTCCTGCTCTCTCCTCTACAGCCTCAGCTCCATTCGCACCGCTCTATTCCGATCTGACACCGCGGACATGCACCAACAGCCCCGGGGGACATGACCACACCCCCCCCCCCGAGGCTCACGGACCACCTACACCCGCAGAGAACACCCCGGGAGCGGACTGAAGAGCCAGGATTTCACCCAGGTTAGATTCACCCCATGTCCGCGTTAGCTGTGACTCTGGCTGCGTCCGAATTCAAAAACACGACTTTCTCTGTGTCCTTCCGCGTCATTCCTTCTTCTTTTTTTCGTCATGTGTTGCATTAGATTTTGCTTTAAAAATATATAGAATATCTTGAAGTTTATTAGAACAAACCTGGAATCACCCTGTCCCATAAACAGTCAATCTTAAAGGACAAGGAGACAAAAGAAGGAGTTTATTCATTCTGAATTTGGATGACGCCAGTGACGTTCTGGACTAGCATGTTATCAACTAGCAAATACTTGTTTACACGTAATTAAACAACATCTTAAACCTTCTATAACGCATTATATTTGTAGTTATCCTCAGCTCTGGACTTTATGTTAATGAAAAATGAAATGGTGTGTTTAAAGCATGTGTTTGTTCAGCATAGTTTAGCATGTATAAGTCTGGTTTGTTTGCAGTATTTGTGCTGCAGGCGCTGTAGCTCTGCCAACGTGGGAACACTGGAAAAACAACATTTAACTTTGATTTTCTGCTTCTACGTCATTCTGCTTTCTCACACACACACAGCACCAAGCTATCCTCAGGTCCACTGTAAATATCCAGTGTATAATTAGTTCTAATCCCACGGACTGTGATCAGCTGCAGTTGGTTCCACTTTCAGTCCAGGAAATGAACTGTTTTGTGCTGAGGAAGAAGAAAGTCTCAGGACACACTTTATCTCAGTTTATCTCAGTTTGTCTCAGGTTTAACTGGGCTAGCATGGCCTGTCACTTTGTATTAGGATGCTATGGCAGGGAAAAGCATTGGAAACCAGCAAGATTTGTGTGTGTTTCTGTGTTTGTGTATAGTGTGTGTGTGTGTGTGTGTGTTGTGTATAGAGTCTCTGTGTGTGTGTTTGTGTATAGTGTGTGTTTCTGTGTTTGTGTATAGTGTGTTTTTCTGTGTGTGTGTTGTGTATAGAGTCTTTGTGTGTTTCTGTGTTTGTGTATAGTGTGTTTTTCTGTGTGTGTGTGTTGTGTATAGAGTCTCTGTGTGTGTGTGTTTGTGTATAGTCTCTGTGTGTGTTGTGTATGGTCTGTGTACTGTGTGTATAGTGTGTGTATGTGTGTTTTGTATTAAAGGTATAGCGGAGGATGTTCTACTTCCGGGTGGATCATCAATACTATTGGTCCTCCCAACTGTCAATCATTCTGGTGATACGTGCTCGTCCAATCAGACCAGAGAGTTTAGTTCAAAAAGTGGAGAAGGCGATTCTTTCCTGAAATGTGGGAAAATCCTCCATAAACCTTTAAAAGAACACTATGTGACTAAGACTATGAGTTGTTAATGAAGCGCCGCAGGTGACCAGAGGCTAAAGGTCGTTCTGATCATATCAATATAGTTTCAATATTCATTTATGGTGTGTTCAAGTTTATCTGTATAGCACTGTTAAATCAATAAAGTATCTATCTACAAGTCATTAAACACAACATTAAAGGTTCTATGCACAAAACAACAGTTTTAACTGGATTTGAACATAGTCAGAGAAGTCTGTCTCACATTTTCAGGAAGACTGTTCCAGATTTTGAAAGTATTGGATTCTATACCAGGCCAGTCCCTGTGCTCCTCAGTTTGACTTGGTTCAAAACTGTTAAAAATCAACTTAAAACAGCACAGAGCATGTTCTAGAGACCAAAATACTATGTAGTGTACTATAGTACTAAGAAGCAACTCCTATAGTACTATGAAGCTAGTACTATGTAGTTAGTACTATGAAGCTAGTACTATGTAGTTAGTACTATAGTACTATGTAGTTAGTACTATAGTACTATGTAGTTAGTACTATAGTACTATGAAGCTAGTACTATAGTACTATGAAGCTAGTACTATAGTACTATGAAGCTAGTACTATAGTACTATGACGCTAGTACTATAGTACTATGACGCTAGTACTATAGTACTATGACGCTAGTACTATAGTACTATGACGCTAGTACTATAGTACTATGACGCTAGTACTATGTAGCTAGTACTATGTATACTATAGTACTATAGTACTGTAGTATACAGTCTCTGGTATTAACTTGACATCAATGAAATGTAACCAATAGAAATCCATCATTACTGGTCCTTGTTCATAGTAATGCTTTGCAGACTGGTTTCTGGCTCTGACAGCACTAGAAACAAACCTACCATGTGAGTCACAGTTTTCTTCATGGTTTGGCCGAGGGTGTGATTTCTTCTCTTTATTGTTGTGTAGAGTCTGTGTCTCATATTCTTCTGTAAATAAGTTTAATCCCTTTAGGATTAATACCGTTTTATTAAATATTATTTTTCCAGAAGTTTGTTGTCCATCAAAGTGAGTTCTCAGGGCTGGTTTAAGTTGATCCAGGCTGATCCAGGCTGAACCAGGCTGAACCAGGCTGAACCAAGCTGAACCAGGACTAGATTCCCTGTGTCTTTCCTTATCTTCTTGTTACTCTGGTTGTGAAACTCTCCATAAACTGTTTCCACAAAGATGCTGAGTCGCTCTGATGCCGTGGTTAGAACCGAGTCACATGTTAGTCACATGTTAGTCACATGTTAGTCACATGTCGGAGTCACATGTCGGAGTCACATGTCGGAGTCACATGTCGGAGTCACAGGGACTGGCCTCCTGCTGGTCCCAGAGTCCGGACTAGAGATGAGGAGGCAGCGTTTCAGATTCAAGCTAAAATGTGGAATTGTCTTCCTGAAAACATGAGACAGACTCTTCTTCTCTGACAATGTTCAAATCCAGATTAAAAACAACTCCTGAAACCGAAGGACTCTTTTTAATGAACTGTGATTACGGCAAATTAAATGTGTCTTTATGAAGTTTGTGGACCTTTTTTATTGATAAATAGTTAATAGTTAAGTCACAAATGAAGACAGTTATTTTTCATAAAGACAGTTTCTGGTCAGATCCAGAAAAACCATTTGCAGATTTCAATTCCCTTTTTAGAAAGAAGTTCCTCAATAATTTGTGGTGGGACAGATTTTGTGCCTCGCAACAACATTTATAGAAAACCCAGCCGGAGGCCAGTCCCTGTGCTCCTCAGAGTCCCAGCAGGAGGCCAGTCCCTGTGCTCCTCAGAGTCCCAGCAGGAGTCCAGTCCCTGTGCTCCTCAGAGTCCCAGCAGGAGTCCAGTCCCTGTGCTCCTCAGAGACCCAGCAGGAGGCCAGTCCCTGTGCTCCTCAGAGACCCAGCAGGAGGCCAGTCCCTGTGCTCCTCCGAGTCCCAGTTGGTTCATATGACACTATCCTCTAAAACCAGTACAGAACCTGAAACAGAGATGAAAGAGCTGTTTCACTTTATAATGTGTAGATCTGTGTGTAGATCCGTGTGTGTAGATGTGTGTGTAGATCTGTGTGTAGGTCTGTGTGTAGATGTGTGTGTAGATGTGTGTGTAGATGTGTGTGTAGATCCGTGTGTAGATCTGTGTGTAAGTGTCCTGTCTCTGTGCAGCGGTGACGTGTCGATGCCTCGGTCTCGCCTCGGTCTGGTCTGATCCCACAGAGACTCCACGATGATGGCCTCCAGTGACGTGGACCGTAACGATGGTGAGTTCTGAACCCATGACCTACTGTTGAGGCTGACGCTGTTCATAGAGCTTTGTTTGGACCATGTTTTTACTGTGATCTCACATTACTCTCATCACTTACTATCTGTGAATGGGGAAGCAGCCGATTACCACACTATATACACCATAACATCCTAGAGACCAGAGAGAGAGACCAGAGAGAGACCAGAGAGAGACCAGAGAGAGACCAGAGAGAGACCAGAGAGAGACCAGAGAGAGACCAGAGAGAGACCAGAGAGAGACCAGAGAGAGACCAGAGAGAGACCAGAGAGAGACCGGAGAGAGGCCGGAGAGAGAACAGAGAGAGACCAGAGAGAGAGACCAGAGAGAGACCAGAGAGAGACCAGAGAGAGACCAGAGAGAGACCAGAGAGAGACCAGAGAGAGACCAGAGAGAGACCAGAGAGAGACCAGAGAGAGACCAGAGAGAGACCAGAGAGAGACCAGAGAGAGACCAGAGAGAGACCAGAGAGAGACCAGAGAGAGACCAGAGAGAGACCAGAGAGAGACCAGAGAGAGACCAGAGAGAGACCAGAGAGAGACCAGAGAGAGACCAGAGAGAGACCAGAGAGAGACCAGAGAGAGACCAGAGAGAGACCAGAGAGAGACCAGAGAGAGACCAGAGAGAGACCAGAGAGAGACCAGAGAGAGACCAGAGAGAGACCAGAGAGAGACCAGAGAGAGACCAGAGAGAGACCAGAGAGAGACCAGAGAGAGACCAGAGAGAGACCAGAGAGAGACCAGAGAGAGACCAGAGAGAGACCAGAGAGAGACCAGAGAGAGACCAGAGAGAGACCAGAGAGAGACCAGAGAGAGACCAGAGAGAGACCAGAGAGAGACCAGAGAGAGACCAGAGAGAGACCAGAGAGAGACCAGAGAGAGACCAGAGAGAGACCAGAGAGAGACCAGAGAGAGACCAGAGAGAGACCAGAGAGAGACCAGAGAGAGACCAGAGAGAGACCAGAGAGAGACCAGAGAGAGACCAGAGAGAGACCAGAGAGAGACCAGAGAGAGACCAGAGAGAGACCAGAGAGAGACCAGAGAGAGACCAGAGAGAGACCAGAGAGAGACCAGAGAGACCAGAGAGAGAGACCAGAGAGAGAGACCAGAGAGAGAGACCAGAGAGAGACCAGAGAGAGACCAGAGAGAGACCAGAGAGAGACCAGAGAGAGAGACCCCAGCGAGGGTCTTTATACACTGTAAAAATGGCGTCATGAAACTAGTCCCTGGAGGGTTTGTGGCCTCGTCCAAACATCATAAACACTTGTATCACCTCCATGCTAATTACTGCATCAGATTCATGTGGAAACAGCTCTGATCAGTTCTGTTCAAATGAATCATAACAAAATCATCCAACAGAATGGATAATTGTTAAAAGTTTTAGATTCACTTATTTATTTATTTATTAACCTTTATTTAACCAGGAAAGTCCCATTGAGATTAAAAACCTCTTTTTCAAGGGAGTCCTGGCCAAGAGGCAGCAGAATATACAGTTTAGGAATTACATACACATTACATACTCATTATAAAAAACATTTACAAGAGGTTGACTCAAGTGCTCTCACTTTGGACTTAAATTCGTTCAATGGAATAAGATCAGTTATTTTCCAGTCTTTTTGCAACGTGTTCCATGTAGAAGGAGCAGAGTGAACAAATGCCCTTTTTCCCAGTTCTGAACGGGCAAATGGAACAGTGAGCAACAATTGATCATTTGAACGCAAACTATAAGAGCCAACGCTCCTCCGTGAGATTAGGTTACAGATGTAAGAGGGCAGTAGACCAAGCATGGCTTTATAAATAAAAGTATACCAATGACTCTGCCTCCTGGAGGACAAAGAAGGCCATCCCACTCGAGAATACAGCTCACAATGATGGGTCAAGGCCCTACAGTTAGTAATGAACCTCAGAGAAGCATGATATACAGTGTCAATCTTGTGTAGACATTGAGCAGACGCGTTCATGTACAGCAGGTCTCCATAGTCTAAAATAGATACAAATGTTGCAGTGACAAGCTGCTTTTTTGCTTTAAAAGAAAAACAAAATTTATTTCGAAAGAAAAAGCCCAATTTGAGTTTAAGTTTTTTCACAAGATTGTCTATGTGGGGCTTGAAATTCAGGGAGTCATCAAGCAATATACCAAGGTATTTGTAAGTGTGAACCACCTCTATGACTTTTCCTTCAAAAGTGGACACTGAGGGGATCGTTTGAGAAACCTTCTTAGTATTTGAAAACAACATTAGTTTAGTCTTTTCAGCGTTGAGGACCAGTTTTAGCTGCAGAAGTGTGTGCTGGACCACATCAAAAGCTTTCTGCAGAGATTCTACAGCTTTAACAGGGTTAATTCCAAAACAGTAAATTATTGTGTCATCAGCGTAAAAATGCATATTAGCGTCAGACACATTTTGTCCCAATTCATTAATATACATGATGAACAGAAGGGGTCCTAATATTGAACCCTGTGGCACCCCCTTGTGGACATTCAAAAATTCAGAACACAGGCCCTCACATTTAATACACTGGGTCCTGTGACTCAGATAATTTGCGAACCAGGAAACAACATGATTAGACAGTCCCAAACAAAGAAGCCTATGCTTTAAAATAGCATGATCCACAGTGTCAAGAGCCTTTGACAGATCAATAAAAAGGGAAGCACAATATTGCTTTTTATCAAGAGCAACAAGTATGTCATTTATCACTTTTGTAGCAGCTGTGATGGTACTGTGCTTTTTCCTGAAGCCGGATTGCAGTTTAGAGAGAAGTTCATTAGAGTGCAGGAACTCTTTGAGTTGATCACAAACAAGAGATTCAAGAACTTTTGACAATACACACAAATTTTATATTGGCCTGTAGTTACTTAAAACAGCTGGGTCACCTCCTTTTAGTAAAGGGGTAACAAAAGCAGACTTCCAAACAAGTGGGATTTCTTTGCTTTGAATTGAAAGATTAAAAAGGACCGTAAGAGGCTGTGCTACATAGTCAGCTGCTATTTTCAAGAAGTAGGGCTCTATCAAGTCTGGTCCGGGGGGTTTTCTGTGGTCTAGTGCTTTGAGAGCTTTATGCACTTCCTGCACAGTAAAAGGAACAAAATTAAAACGCTCTCCAGAAGACATTGGAGATTCTGTGCAGGGAGTCACAGGGGCTGCTCCTGAGAAGTCAAACAAAGAACCAGAAGCTACAAAATGCTCGTTAAAGCTATTTAAGACCTCAGTCCTATCATACACAGGGACAGAGTCTTTTAAGACACATTTTGGAAAAGCATGAGGTCTTCTGTTTACAGATAGAGACTTTATCACTTTCCAAAATTTCTGTGGGTTGTTGAGGTTTTCTGTTGTGACAGATAAGTAATATTCTGATTTAGCCTTTTTGATAAGAGAAGTACATTTATTTCTTAAATGCCTGAAATTAGACCAGTCAGATGGAGAATCACATTTCCTGGCTTTGGCCCATGCCACATTGCGCTGATGGATGGACTCTGACAATTCTGGGGAAAACCAAGGGTTCTCCCGTCCCTTGATTCTGAATTTCCGGATTGGAGCATGTTTATTTACAAGCTTCATAAAACTTTCCTTGAAGTATGTCCAAGCCAGCTCCACATCTGGCAGCAGGCTCAATTGCCCCCAATTGACCAAAGACAAATCATGATGATACGCTTGTTCATTGAATAATTTTATATTTCTCTTGCAAATAATATGTGGTTTGCATTTGGGAATTTTAGTGTTCCTACAAGTAGCAACAACACAATGATCGCTCAAATCATTGCAGAACACACCCAATGTTGAGAATTTATGAGGGACATTTGTTAGGACTAAATCAATCAAAGTAGACTTATCAGGACTCTTCACATTTGGCCTTGTAGGTAGGTTGACCAACTGGCTAAGATTAATAGAGTCACAGAAAGATTTAAATTCACCAGAAGCTGTATTCAGCCAGTCCCAATTCAAGTCTCCGGCCAATAAGAGTTCATTATAATTTAATTTGGACAAAAGACGCTGTAAGGTTGATAATGCTTCCTTGGTGGCAGATGGAGGCCTGTAGCACCCCACGACAGTTATAGAGAGGGATTTAACTATTTCCATATTTAAAGCCAAAAACTCAATTTGCTTAGTAATAGACTCAGATAGAACAATTGATACATCAAATCTTGATTTTACATAAATGGCTACGCCACCACCTTTCTTGGGCCTATCCGTGCGATAAACATTGTATCCAAGTATGTTGATGTCATCATTAGAAGTAGATTTGGATAGCCATGTTTCAGAAATGATCACAATATCTGCATCTGTCGATTTCACCCAAATTTTGACCATGTCCATCTTGGGTAATAAGCTGCGCACATTAAGATGAACAAATTTTAACCCAGGCATAGATTTGAAATCAGCAGGGGTCTGGACACATTTCAGCTCAGGTCCAGGGTTTGGTTGCACATTTCCAGATAAAAGTAAAAGTAGAACAATCATAATCAATCTTCGTTTCACGTCGTTTCTTCGTTTCACGTCGTTCACTTGATTAAAGCCTTAAGTAATGATATAATACAAACCTGTATTTCTTATTGGACAATCAAACTTGTGACATCTGTAAATGTCTGGATATGTGATCTCTGGTCTGTCTCTGGTCTGTCTCTGGTCTGTCTCTGGTCTGTCTCTGGTCTGTCTCTGGTCTGTCTCTGGTCTGTCTCTGGTCTGTCTCTGGTCTCTCTCTGGTCTCTCTCTCTGGTCTGTCTCTGGTCTGTCTCTGGTCTCTCTCTGGTCTCTCTCTCTGGTCTCTCTCTGGTCTGTCTCTGGTCTGTCTCTGGTCTGTCTCTGGTCTCTCTCTGGTCTGTCTCTGGTCTGTCTCTGGTCTGTCTCTGGTCTGTCTCTGGTCGGTCTTTGGTCGGTCTCTGGTCTCTCTCTGCTCTCTCTCTCTCTGGTCTCTCTCTCTGCTCTCTCTCTCTGTGGTCTCTCTCTCTGTGGTCTCTCTCACAACTGGGATTAACTTTGTTGCTGCCTTTTTGCCGAACACCGACCTCTCTCCAAGTTTCCCAGAGGAGAGTTTGTTCTTTGTATTGACTTTTCCAATAATCACGAGTCGATGAACAAATATCCCTTAGTCCTGTTCAGCTTTAGCATTTAGCCTAGACCCAGACGGTACATGTAGGAAACGATAATTGACCAGAGTTTACGGAGGTTTACGGAGTTTACGGATGTGTTTTTTTTTTAGTTTTTTTTTAACAATAGCCCCGTTTCCACCAGCCCTACTTGGCCCGGCCCTACCCTACTTTTAACCACTGTGGCTCTCTTTGGGGCTAGTTTGCTCGGACATGGTACCAGACCTAAAAGCATAATGGTAGGGTCGACTAGAAAGCAAAAACAAGACAAAAGATGTGGTATTTGCGCAAAATGGTTTTGAGTCAGAAGTAGCTTATGTAAGAAGTAATGTTTAATTATATAGCACCTTTCACAGACCAGTCACAAGGAGCTTTACATTTCAGTGTTTGTAGAAGCTTAATTGTTGCTTAGGTCAATATTGTGCAGAGGAGTGTCCACGTCCACTCTCTGTCTCCCGTCGGCCTCTGCTGTGGATTCTTAACCGTTTCTCTCCTTTAATGGATTGTTTTGTACTGTTTTATCTCTCCTCGAACCACAAAGGGTCAGTGTCTTCTTCTTTTTAAGTTTTGGACTGTTTGCTTGAGTCACTGGCAGCTCCGGTGATTGACCTAGAGCATTACACGACTTTGGTTAAATTGTCTTTACCTCTGTATCCTGAGCCACAGTTGTTTTGATAAATGCTGAATATACGTCTTTTTGTTTCCTGCTCGAAAGATCCCACAAGGAGAAGTTCCATCAGTCGCCAAAATAATAATAAAAATAATCATAATAATAATGCAAAGTTTTTATACAGTGCTTTTCTGGACGCTCAAAGTCTCTTCACATGATTATTCTTTCTCTACAAACACAGCGGTGATAAACTGCTACTGTAGCCACAGCTGCCCTGGGGCACACTGACAGAAGCGAGCCCTCCCACCACCACCAACCATTCACACACACACCAGACTCATTCTAATGTGGGGGAAGTGTCTTGCCTAAGGACACAACCACAGCAGACATCAGTGGGAGTCTGTGGAGAAGGTCTTGTGGTGGACTCGAACCCACAACCTTCAGGCTCAAGAAAACTACTGTGTTTTAGGGCGATACAAAAATGAATTGAATTGAATATACGTCGTTGCCTAAAAAAACAGAATTAAACCTCTTTATGAGTCTATTTTCTATGTTTTTAATATTTCTTGTGATCCTAATGTTTGTTTTTAAATCGTATTAAATGTAGATTCTATTGTTGTGCGGTGCTTTGTGTTGCCGTGTGTAGAAAAGGTGCTACACAATTAAGTGTGTGTTTCTCCAGCTTCTCTGAGCTGCCGCTGTTGGGTGCACAGACTGTAAATATTAACAAGAGTCACACCTTTCTCCACCGTTGAAGCTAATGTGACATCACCTCTGGCTTCTATGGGCAGTTTCAAAATGGCCACCGGCAGCCCCTCCCTCAGGAAAATGGGAGGGGCTGCATTCAAAAGTCCACAGCCGCTAAACTGGACTGGTCCAAAAAGTATATACGCCGCTCAACATCGACAGGATTAGGAAGGAAGAGGACCAAGAGCCACTTTTGGACCAAGAGCCACTTTTGGACCAAGAACCACTTTTGGACCAAGAACCACTTTTGGACCAAGAGCCACTTTTGGACCAAGAGCCACTTTTGGACCAAGAGCCACTTTTGGACCAAGAGCCACTTTTGGACCAAGAGCCACTTTTGGACCAAGAGCCACTTTTGGACCAAGAGCCACTTTTGGACCAAGAGCCACTTTTGGACCAAGAGCCACTTTTGGACCAAGAGCCACTTTTGGACCAAGAGCCACTTTTGGACCAAGAGCCACTTTTGGACCAAGAGCCACTTTTGGACCAAGAGCCACTTTTGGACCAAGAGCCACTTTTGGACCAAGAGCCACTTTTGGACCAAGAGCCACTTTTGGACCAAGAGCCACTTTTGGACCAAGAGCCACTTTTGGACCAAGAGCCACTTTTGGACCAAGAGCCACTTTTGGACCAAGAGCCACTTTTGGACCAAGAGCCACTTTTGGACCAAGAGCCAGAACCACTTTTGGACCAAGAGCAAGAACCACTTTTGGACCAAGAGCAAGAACCACTTTTGGACCAAGAGCAAGAACCACTTTTGGACCAAGAGCAAGAACCACTTTTGGACCAAGAGCAAGAACCACTTTTGGACCAAGAGCAAGAACCACTTTTGGACCAAGAGCAAGAGCCACTTTTGGACCAAGAGCAAGAGCCACTTTTGGACCAAGAGCAAGAGCCACTTTTGGACCAAGAGCAAGAGCCACTTTTGGACCAAGAGCAAGAGCCACTTTTGGACCAAGAGCAAGAGCCACTTTTGGACCAAGAGCAAGAGCCACTTTTGGACCAAGAGCAAGAGCCACTTTTGGACCAAGAGCCACTTTTGGACCAAGAGCCACTTTTGGACCAAGAGCCACTTTTGGACCAAGAGCCACTTTTGGACCAAGAGCCACTTTTGGACCAAGAGCCACTTTTGGACCAGAGCCACTTTTGGACAAGAGCCACTTTTGGACCAAGAGCCACTTTTGGACCAAGAGCCACTTTTGGACCAAGAGCCACTTTTGGACCAAGAGCCACTTTTGGACCAAGAGCCACTTTTGGACCAAGAGCCACTTTTGGACCAAGAGCCACTTTTGGACCAAGAGCCACTTTTGGACCAAGAGCCACTTTTGGACCAAGAGCCACTTTTGGACCAAGAACCAAAGTGGCTCTTGGTCCAAAAGTGGTTCTTGGTCCAAAAGTGGTATTGTCTTGTATTTTACAAACATAGACAATCCTAGATTTGGAAACTGATAAGATAATACAGTATAAGACAGACTTTATTGATCTCAGAATCACTCAGATTGTGCCGAAGACAGAAATGTGAAACATGTTAAAGATTAAAAATACAGTCTGTGCAGGATATGGTCTCTCTCTCTCTGGTCTCTCTCTCTCTGGTCTCTCTCTGGTCTCTCTCTCTCTGGTCTCTCTTCTGAATGCTCTGTGATTATGTATGATTTTAACGCCTCGTCTGACTGTTTCTTGTTTTTACTAAGCACTTGTGGCCTTGTGTATGAACTGTGCTACACAAGTAAATCTGCCTTCACCGATGTTGTGCCGTTGTGCTTTCAGACCATAACCCTTCAGAGATGGACGCTCTGTGCCCCAGTCCCCCCAGCCCCTCGCGGCCCCAGAGGAACTACGAGCGAATGGGAGAGCGCACCGGCACCACGTGAGTCTTAATACGTTTATTATTATCACAACTAAAATATCTTTAAAACACTTTTCACATTTATGGACCAACGGCTCAGTAACAGGGGTGTCAAAGTCGAGGCCCGGGGGCTGGATGCGGCCCACAAATGAATGATCGTGGCCCAGAGATGATATTTGATCAGTATTAGAAGCAGCCGCACCGAAACAAAAGAAAATATTTAATTATTCATTTAATGTTCAGGTGTTTTCTCTTTGAAGGACGTTTGTTTTTGAGTCTGTTGGAAAATGTTTTCACTTGAAATGACTCGGAGCCACAACGTTTTTGATCATTCTTTTAATCATGAAATAAAATACGGTCCACTGAGTTCAGTCTTGGTTCAACAGGTTTTATGTCATTTTAATGTGTTTTAATAAACTTTGAACCGGTCCAGGCTCGGAGCAGATTAGTTTTTTTTGACCGAGCTGATTCTCTGATTTGTTGTTGGAGAATGGACCGCTTTGTAAAGACCTCAGAGAAAACTACTCCTGTCATTTAGAGCGATACAGAAATACATTGAAATGAAATTGACGTCTCACAGTGCAGTAAAAATTCAGTATTATTATCATTATTATTATTATTATTATTGTGATGTTGTGGAGAGTCTCACCTTGTTGTGTTTTTGACGAGAATATTTTAAAAACTGCTTAAACCGACATTTTGTTACAACTTTGTTCCTCATCAAAACAAAACTGATCCAGGATAAAATCAGGAACTTCGTGTGACTCCGCCCCCTTCTGTATTAAAGCTGCTGTCTCTCTCTCACACAAATACACACATACCTCTACACACACACACACACACACACACACACACACACACACACACACACATCAATACAACATGTGCAGAAAAGTCGCTGTTTCTCTTCTTCTCCTGGTTTGTGAGAAAGACACTGAAACCTTAAACTGCTGCGGTTTGAGAAATACAGAAAATACTTTGTTCCTCATTATGAAAATATACTATGAAAGAATACTAATTCAATTCATTTTTGTATCGCCCTAAAACAGTGTTTATCAAACTGGGGTATGCGTACCCCTAGGGGTACGCGGGCGCCCTCTAGGGGTACGCCAAAGAATCACTGTAAAAAAAAAAAAATAGGAAAACAATTTTATTTTTTTATTTTTATTTAACCTGGAAAGTCTCATTGAGATTAACTCATTGACAGCCATTGATGTCAATGAGTACCGCACGATATACGTCACCTCTTCTCATTAATATTCATTAAGCTAGCGACGGTTGCTAGGGGGGTCAAACTCGCGCGTGTCACTCATGCTAGACGCATGTAAACAGTTTACGGACGAGATGTCTACTGAGCTAAACCTGCTAACTCTGTCCGAGAATGATGTCCCCGGTGCCAAATTCACTGGTATAGAAGTAGAAGAACATCCATCCATCCATTTTCTACCCTTTAATCCATTTCTGGGTCAGGGGGGTGGCAATCAGAGATGCCACCCAAGTCTCATAGCACCAGCCCCTCACTGACCCTCTGCAGGTGGTGAGTCCACAGGAGGAATTTCTCCCCCAAAAAACATCGCCTTACGCCACTGACAGTGACTTTTTGCAGTTTCAACAAGCTATCTTTTACCACCCTATGTCCTGTCTGTCATATATACTATGTCCTCTGGTTGTCTTACGTCTGACAGTTGTTGTGGGTAATTTATATTATTATTATTCATGTATTTATTTTTTGTTTAGCGATCGCTAATGCTACTTGGTCACAACCAACAACACTTAATTTTTAATTAATATCAAATCTAAATTCTCTCAATTTTACCCTCCCCCCAAGGCTGTTTCCTTACTACAGAAAAAGTAAATCTGTCAGATCTAGGGCCTACCTGTAGCATGAACAGGCTTGCTAGAAAAAGGCAGAACATGTCTTACATATTTAAATAAGAGTATTTTAAGAAAGTAGGCCTCATATGACTTTTATGATAAATACATGTGATTCAAGGCAGTAGTAGCACCTACAAGTAAAATATATATATATATATATATATCTATCGAGAGGTACCGACTAGAGATAGTCGGCCTCACCTCCACACACAGCTTGGGCTCTGGAACCCAACTCCTTGAGAGGGGTTGGACGCTCCACTTTTCTGGTGTTTCTCGCGGGGAGAGGCGGCGAGCTGGGGTGGCCATACTCATTGCCCCCCATCTCAGCCGCCACGTGTTGGAGTTCTCCCCGGTGAATGAGAGGGTCGCGTCCCTCCGCCTTCGGGTGGGGGACAAGTCTCTCACTGTTGTGACGGCCTACGGGCCTAACAGCAGTGCAGTGTACTCGGCCTTCTTGGAGTCCTTGGGAGGGGTACTGGACGGTGCACCGCCCGGGGACTCCGTCATTCTCCTGGGGGACTTTAACGCCCATGTGGGAAGCGCCAGTGACACTTGGAGAGGGGTGATCGGGAAGAATGGCCCCCCGATCTGAACCCGAGTGGTGTTCAGTTGTTGGACTTCTGTGCTAGTCACGGTTTGTCCATCACGAACACCATGTTTGAGCACAAGGGTGTCCACCAGTGCACGTGGCACCAGGACACCCTAGGCCGGAGGTCGATGATCGACTTTGTTGTCGTATCATCTGACCTTCGGCCGCGTGTTTCGGACACTCGGGTAAAGAGAGGGGCGGAGCTGTCAACCGATCACCACCTGGTCGTGAGTTGGATCCGCTGGCAGGGGAAGAAGCCGGTCAGACCTGGCAGACCCAAGCGTGTAGTGAGGGTCTGCTGGGAACGTCTCGCTGAGACCCCTGTCAGACGGACTTTCAACTCACACCTCCGGGAGAGCTTCTCCCAGGTCCCGGCGGAGGAGGGGGATATTGAGTCTGAGTGGACCATGTTCTCTTCCTCTATCGCCGATGCGGCGGCTCGTAGCTGTGGTCGCAAGGTCTCTGGTGCTGGTCCCGGCGGCAACCCCCGAACCCGGTGGTGGACACCGGCAGTAAGGGATGCCGTCAGGCTGAAGAAGGAGTCCTATCGAGCCATGATGATTCGGGGGACTCCTGAGGCAGCTGTCCAGTACCGGCAGGCCAAGCGTGCCGCGGCCCGGGCTGTTGCAGAGGCAAAAACCCGGGACTGGGAGGAATTCGGAGAGTCCATGGAGCATGACTATCGGTCGTCCTCGAAGAGATTCTGGCAAACTGTCCGGCGCCTCAGGAGGGGGAAGCAGTTCTTTGCCAACACCGTGTACGGTGCGGGGGGTGAGCTGCTGACCTCGACCGGGGATATTGTCGGACGGTGGAAGGAATACTTTGAGGTTCTCCTCAATCCCCCCGTCACGTCCTCCGCTCCGGAGGCAGAGGCTGAGGATGTTGGGGCGGATACTTCTGTCACCCTGGCAGAGGTCACCAAGGTGGTTGGCAGCCTCCTTGGTGGCAAGGCGCCGGGAGTGGATGAGATCCGTCCTGACTATCTAAAGTCTCTGGATGTTGTAGGACTGTCTTGGCTGACACGTCTCTGCAACATCGCGTGGCGATCGGGGGCGGTGCCAATGGAGTGGCAGACCGGGGTGGTGGTCCCTCTCTACAAGAAGGGGGACCGGAGGGTGTGTTCCAATTATCGTGGGATCACACTCCTCAGCCTCCCTGGTAAGGTTTACTCCAAGGTACTGGAGAGGAGGTTACGGCCGATGGTCGAATCTCGGATTCAGGAGGAGCAGTGTGGTTTTCGTCCCGGCCGTGGAACACTGGACCAGCTCTACACTCTCCATCGGATACTCGAGGGTTCATGGGAGTTCGCCCAACCTGTCCACATGTGCTTTGTGGATTTGGAGAAGGCGTTCGACCGTGTTCCCCGGGGTGTCCTTTGGGGGGTCCTCCGTGAGTACGGGGTCCGGGGTCCTCTGCTGAGGGCCGTCCGGTCCCTGTATGACCGGAGCCAGAGCTGTGTTCGCATTGCCGGCAGTAAGTCAGACCTGTTCCCGGTGCATGTTGGCCTCCGCCAGGGCTGCCCTTTGTCACCGATTCTGTTCACTGTATTCATGGACAGAATTTCTAGGCGCAGCCAAGGGTCGGAGGGGGTCCGGTTCGGGGACCACAGGATTTCATCTCTGCTGTTTGCAGACGATGTTGTCCTGTTGGCTCCAACGAACCAGGACCTACAAAATGCACTGGGACGGTTTGCAGCCGAGTGTGAAGCGGCTGGGATGAGAATCAGCACCTCCAAATCTGAGGCCATGGTACTCGACCGGAAAAAGGTGCCTTGCCCTCTCCGGGTGGGAGGAGAGGCCCTTCCTCAAGTGGAGGAGTTCAAGTATCTCGGGGTCTTGTTCACGAGTGAGGGAAGGATGGAACGTGAGATTGACAGGCGGATCGGTGCAGCGTGCGCAGTGATGCGGTCGCTGTATCGGACCGTTGTGGTAAAGAGGGAGCTGAGCCGAAAGGCAAAGCTCTCAATTTACCGGTCAATCTTCGTCCCCTCCCTCACCTATGGTCATGAGCTTTGGGTAATGACCAAAAGAACAAGATCGCGGATACAAGCGGTCGAAATGAGCTTCCTCCGCAGAGTGGCTGGGCGCTCCCTTAGAGATAGGGTGAGGAGCTCAGTCACACGGGAGGAGCTCGGAGTAGAACCGCTGCTACTCCACGTCGAGAGGAACCAGTTGAGGTGGCTCGGGCATCTGTTCCGGATGCCTCCTGGACGCCTCCCTGGGGAGGTGTTCCGGGCATGTCCCACCGGGAGGAGGCCCCGGGGAAGACCCAGGACACGCTGGAGGGACTATGTCTCTCAGCTGGCCTGGGAACGCCTTGGAGTCCCCCCGGACGAGCTGGAGGAGGTGTGTGTGGATAGGGAAGTCTGGGCGTCTCTGCTTAGACTGCTGCCCCCGCGACCCCGGCAAAGGATGAAGCGGAAGAAAATGGATGGATGGATGGATAATATAATATAATATAATATAATATTATTTATATATATATATATATATATATATATATATATATATATAGATATATATATATATATAATATATGAGATAGAGAGAGAGAGAGA